GGAAGTGGATGATGGATGCAGACATAGAAACCCTTTTCCTGTTCACTGTAAGTTTGTACCTCAGCTCTTAAGAGGCCGTGAAAACATCAGAATTTGGATCATACCGACCTTCAGTCTAAAGGCTGCATCTGAAAACTGGTTTCCAGCTGTTTGTTCTTCACACATAATCTTTATTTCATTTAATTTACTTTTAAAATCTCACTTGTTGGGTGTCAGGTTTTTACTTGTGGTCGGTGTGAATCCCTTCACTTTGTCCCTGTGTTTGAGAATCTTCATAATCAACCTTCCCAGTGTGGCTTAAGCATCTCCCCATCCCGTCGTGGTGCTCGAATCATCTGTCCACACTGAGCAGCTCTTTTGTCCATTTTCATCCAAAAACCAGCACATCTGGTCCTTCAGCCTCTGCCACTTGAGGCGGCTGTAGCTCAGGTGGTGGAGCAGGTCACCTACTAATTGGAAGGTTGGTGGTTTGATACTCATCTGCTCCAGCCTGCATGCTTTAGGCAAGATATCAACCCCCATCTGCTTTCTGATGCATCCACTGGAGTATGAATGTGTGTAAATGTTACGTAGAAAAAAGGCTTAAAGTGCTCAGAAAGAGTAGAAAAGTCAATTTACAAGCTTTAGGGTGTTCTTCATGACGTCTTCAAGCAAAAGTTTATCTTCCAAAGTTTTATTCCTAAACTCTCTTTACTTCAGAGAATCAGCATCATCTTGAGCTGTAGACAATCACAGCTCAGTCTGACAGAGCAGTCCTTCGTCTGCTTCCTCATCTTTAAAAAAGTCAGAGATGAGGTGCTGGTTTCTCTTCTTTGGCCGTCCCGAGCTCCAGTCGTCTTCTCCCAGGGTGTTCTTAGATCTGCTGCATTGTTTTTAACCTTTTGCTTGCTCATCTTACCAGAAGTGAAAACGAGAAAATCCAAAAGCCCAGTTTACTGTAAGTCAGGGGTGTCCAACTCCAGGCCTTGGTTTTAGATCTGGGTCAACACACCTGACTCAGATGATGAGTTCATTAGCAGGCCTCTGGAGAACTTCAACACATGTTGGCGAGGTCATGTAGCCATTTAACTCAGCTGTGTTGGATCAAGGACACATCTAAACCCTGCAGGACACCGGCCCTCGAGTCCTGGCGTTCCCCACCCCTGCTGTAAGTGGTCTTCATCGAGCACCGGTACAAACAGCAAAGTGTATTTCATCAGGTTACTCCTATAGTCAGATGTCGAGTGAACATATTCCAATCGATAATTACACCAATGTTAGCTTGACCATCACACCTCGGACTTCCTGTTGTGTCCTGATCAGACAGATCGGCGAGAACCTGATTGTCCCGCCCGGCGTGAAAACGGTGGACGCATATGGTCAGCTGGTGATCCCCGGAGGAATCGACGCCAACACAAACCTGTACTCACCGCAGAAAGGCCTGAACCCGGCAGATGACTTCTACCAGGGAACTAGAGCCGCCCTGTCCGGAGGAACCACCACCATTAGTCAGTAACCAATCGATCAATACCATCCGGCCTCAGTGTGATGTGCTAACGGTAAGCTGGTTGTGTTGGCAGTGGACCACGTGCTGGTGGAGCCGGGGACTAGTTTACTAACGGCATTTGACCAGTGGAAAGATGCGGCAGAGCAGAGGGCGTGCTGCGACTTCTCCCTCCACGTGGACATCACCCGCTGGCACGAGGGGCTGTACGAGGAGCTGGAGACACTTGTCAAGGACAAAGGTCAAGATTGCCAAGCAATAATCAATAAGCTCATTATCAATTATAGTCAGATATCGCAAGACACAGAGGGTGAGCTGTAGTCTGGCTGAGTATAAACTGCAGTACTCTGTGTTTCAGGGGTGAACTCCTTCCTCTTCTTCATGGCCTACAAAGATAAGTACCAGAGCTCCGACTCTCAGGTGTGCAGAGGAACTTCTCATTAATTGTTTCTTTTTGTTAGTTTTGCTTTCGTTTTACCGTTGTCATGGTTTCAGCTCTATGAGGCCTTCAGTGTCCTCCGTGATCTCGGAGCCATCGC